ACAGCAAACGGCACTACGTTGCGGCATAACATCATGGTAGAACTTTGAGTTATTATTTAATAAACTTTCTTCAAGCCATCAGTTTATTACAATGTGCCTCCAAACAGCTTAGTAGGTGTTAAATTCCTACAAGCACACACAGGCCGTACTATAGTATACTATTTACTGGTCTTAGGAAGAATTATCACTAGAATTAGCGTTCTTAGTGTGGGCACATTACTTCTGGCAGCAGTATCTTAGTCCACGTAATCCACAGCCTGGTGGCTAGAGCTGAGTGGATGGAAACTAAGGCAGGCCCTGTTGTGATCTGGGCTTAAAGCATGCATTTACTCGGAATAGCATAATCCGAGATTCATAGCCCTTGTTGAGATTGAGGGGATATGAGCCCAGCGTGAGGGTAGCGCACCAGCACAAAACTCCACTGTCACTTAAGCCTTAGTCAGGCGGTGTTCTGGCCTGCATTTGAGAAAGCGCCCTACGCCTGATCCCGTTCGGTCATCTCGTCTCTGTCTTGTCGCTCGCTTCAATCGGGTTGAGGGTTCAGGGTGCGGTAGCCGGCTGCGCCTCTATCTCTCTTAAATCTAATCTCTGACTACGATCACCTTCCCTGGTCCTAAGCACATGGTGGACTTCATCGAAATCGATGTTCGAACTATTTCTTACATCATCCCCGGAAGAGAAAGAAGAAGAAGAGACGATTTCTAGAACCAAAGTATATTCTGGCTGAAGTTTCAAAAGTTCGCTCGCTTCCATCGTCAGAGCGTAATGTCTGTACTCCTGTTCGCGTCAGATAAATATGAACGACCATGCGCCCATGTGTTAATCGATTGCAACGATCGATTTTCGTGGCTGTTTGAATTGCTCGCACCCTCACGAGCGTCGTCTTGAGCTGTGTCAAGTAATTGTTTGTGTCTCGTGAGCGTTTCCACCCTCTTTGCTCGTGACTGCCGGCTGTCGGCCCTGCTTATCTCTCTCCGCCCTACCTATTGTTCTGTTCTGAGCCGATGTTAGCCTTTTTCGGAGCGCTTGGTAGGTGGGATGAAGGTCTATGGGTCTGTTTAGTGTGCCAGTCGAGGACCAACTTTCTAGCAGCAATCTATCAAGTGCGCTCCTATAGCAAATGCAAAATTTGGGGGGAGGAGGGGGTGGCAGGCACAGGTGGGTGCGGTAAATGCAATGCAAATCTACTATCACTTAAAAATTAACTACACGCACATGTTACCGTCCCTACACCACCCTGCTTATAG